CTACATAGTTTTAACAATGAAAATCTAATTTTGATATTTTTGCATACGTATAATTTACATTGAATATGTCATTTTAAGTGGCTGTATCGTCTAAACCAAACATTTTACAAACAAATACTAAGAGACAAAAAAGTTTCCAAATAGATGTTGCATTTCAGTAGCGTTCGATTTTTAATAAAATTTTATATTACAAAAAAGTTGAATAGAGAAAGGGGCGGTGACACCCTCCAAAATCCTACAAAAATAAAAAAAAATATTTTGCCTCTACTTCGATTTTGTTAGTCATAGTATTCCAACACGTCATATAAAATTTCATGAAAAAATGTCAAACGGTTTAAGATCAATGTTAAAAAAAATCATTTAAATTTTTATCTTATTCACCCTGTAACTATTTTTGGGTGCACTTTTGTATATAGGTAAGTACGGTTTAATCGTTTTATTTTTGACCCAAGAATACGTGGTATAATTTATGACATACCATTTTGAAACACCCTGTATACTATTTAGCCTTAAACTTGGCTTCGTAGCCCGGATAATACTCTTTAAACCTGCCCTTTTTAAGTATTTCCCTTTATTTATTGTTTTTTTACCCCTCGTTTTACCCGTATTTATTATAAATTATTTCTGTTTTGAGATCATCTATTGGTATATATACTGGGCCTTAACTGTATAAGGATTCTGCTCCTGCTGTAAGAACCTAACACGTCTTTAAACAAGGGCTGAAGGAAACACAGTGTTCTCAAAACAAGTATAATGTAATTACAACGATTATATAAAATGTCTTAACTCAACATACACAAATACAGGCTCAATATAATAATAAGTACACAAAACGTAAACTTACCAACTCCGTTAATATTTGGGCACATGTTACAACCCCTAGCTAACTATTTAAAAATATAATTATTCAAAATACAAAATAGACTTTTAAATTAAACTATGAAGGTCTAAGCTGGAGCTGCTACAGGGAATCTCCTACAAGGGAGACCTCCTATGGGGAGGATCCGTTCCCTGTGGAAAAAAGCCTCGTGCATCCCCTCGACATTACCTTTATAACTTTCTCCTAGTTTATTGTTATTAAAACTAATGTTTAATAATTATTAAATAACCAACCTTGCACATTATTGCTATTTAAAACAAATTGTTGACATAATTAAACAAAGTTTTATGTACATGATGTTATTTAAATAATTAATTAAAATTAGGAAAAATATGAATTTATACGAATCGTGACAATAATAAAAAAAACAGTTTATTTACACAGTAGTTTATTAAAACATCTTAATCAACAAAAGTACAAGTAACTTATAGTCCTGGTGGTCCAGTGTTGTATTCACAACATCTTTCACAGATGAAAAACAAACCTAAATTACAATCTCTGTCATTCCAGGTGAGTTCATCAGAGGAACCCCACAGTTGTAAGCATTTTTCGTTTACGTCACTGGGCTGTCCTCCGGACCAGTTTGTGTATTCTACTCGGGTACCATAAGGCATCCATACGAAGTTGGTGCCGTCTACTAGCCTGGTACCACCAGTCCAGAATTCGGTGGTGCCTTTACCTGAAATTTGGTGATTAGTCTTGATTAGCTACCTCAAAGGTATATTTGCAGTTCTACCTAATACACATGAGAGAGACATAGATAGACTATCTATGGAGATAGAGACAATTGGCTATAAATTTGTCGAAGTCGTTCACATCGACAATGATCAACAACAATGTGTGCTTTTTTAGAAAGTTGAAGTATTTCCAGTACGTTAACGTAAACGTGAAAGCCAACGTAAAAAAATGTTTGCGTTGAAGTCCAAACTTAAACGCATCGTGACATTTACGTATCATGACCACATACTTTGATTACTATACGATGCAAGAGAGAGGTCCGACACGCCCAACATAGGGCGCGGCCATTTTGAAAGAAAGAAAATCAAAGTATGTGGACTAAACCACATACTTTGATTTTCTCTTACTATATTGGAGATTGGTCGCACTGCGCAGCTTTCTGAGTGCCTTTTAAAAGGATATAGAAAACTCCGCCATGAAATTTTGCTTGCTGCTGTCAGTGTCAGTTAATATTATTTTTGGAGTCACAGTTTATTGCTAAAGAATCAGTTAGCTCACTCGGACCAGTTGAAAGTTCCAAAATAACATCCACTCCAGGAAAACAAGTTCAGGATACGCAGAAGACTGCTGTTTTATTATAAGCGGTTGTCATATATTGTATTATCTGAGTTGCGCAGTGTATAAACTGGAACATTGAGATAAAAAGTGCCGAAGCAGAGTGAGCGATCTGATTCTTTAGGTATAAACTGTGTCATAGGGTTTAAAATGGCCGCACCCTATGTTGGGCGTGTCGGACCTCTCTCTTGCCTCGTATAGTAATCAAAGTATGTGCCAAGATCCCAGAGCGATAAGACATAACTTATTTTCTAAAAGATGAAACTTTAAGTTCTCAGTAGTGTCTCATGTACTTTGTATACCTGCGTGTTTGTGAAGTTTGCGCAGTGACACCTGGGCAGGTATAGTTCTTCCATTATCAATTGCAGAACACAGTTATGTGGGGAATCATCAATATTTAATATATACGCACGGCACGCTTGCCAAATTAAGAAACGAAAAATAATGTTTACTTCCCTTATACAATGCGGTAAATATTAAACGAACCGTCAGTCCACGTGTACTTGATATATATGTGTCAGAATGTATCATCTCCGTTGTTTAGCAATGAAAACAACGAATCGTAAACTTAATTGCACTGTATTGGCCGAAGGTTTACGGATGGCAGGAGTGTTCGAAAATATTCCTGGAAGACAGTCTGCGATATCAGTGGAGTACTGTCGTGCGGTGTGTTTTGTATTTTTGATTGGTTTAATTTAGAACTTTCTTTAAGTAAATATAAATATGGCATTCTTTAGACCATGGGCGAATGAAGAAAATGAAATTGCACAGTGTAATGAGATTAAAGACAGGTATGACTTTAACAAAAGGATTTAGATATACAAACATAGCAAGTTATTTTAAATATATTCGAATGTTTAAAAATGGAAAATATTCAGCGGCCTGATAATGCGATCATAATAAAAATTGCTGAATTAACTAAAGTAAAGAAATTTTCCATTTATCGGGTAGTCACGAAAAGGGTTGCTGTGGATCATTCACAAAACCGAAAAACATGTAAAGAAAAACTGAAATCAGTTGACAAAGCTACCCAAGATTTTATACGAAGGACAATTTATAGTTTATATAAGGAGAACAGGGTTCTGTCATTGGAAGTAATACAGCAAAAGTAGCAAATTTTTAAGGCTACACTTATACCAGTTTGGAAACATTGCGTTAAGTTTTGTCAGCATGTGGTTTTAAACATAAAAAAACTGAATAAACGGATGGCAATCACCGAATCGTCAAGGATAGTTCAACGGCATCAAGATTATTTGCGTCAGATAAAAGACTACAGAAGTTCTAATAGACACAATTTATCTAGATGAAACATGGTTTGACAGTCACGATGTAGTAAATTTCGGTTGGGTTGACAGTAGTAAAAATTGCTGTTTGAATGAGCTATGTTCTAAAGGGAAACGCATTATAATAGTACACGCTGGAAGCAAAGCCGGTTTCGTGCCTAATGCTTTATGATTATCTTCTAAAAAAAAATTAAAACTATGCAGCTGATTATCATGAAGATATGACAGCAGAATTAGTTGAAAAGTGGTTTAATGAACAGCTTTTAACTAACATTCCACCACAGTCAGTAATCGTTATGGACAATGCATCCTACCACTCGCGGCAACTCCTTAAAATTTTAGCGTTTATGTCTGAAAAAAATATTCCTATTCCTGCCAGTGATCGTAAAAAAGGCCCAACAAACAAAGAATTGCTTACTGTTATTAAAGGTATAAAGTTAGAAAAAATTTATTATATTGACAAGCTGTGCAAAGAATAGGGTTATACTCTTCTCAGAATACCTCCTTACTATTTCATATTTAACTCTATAGAGTTAATATGGGCAAACGTAAAATCATAATTACGAAAATGTAATCAGTCTCCAGAACTGAGTAAAGAGGTTGTAGAACTCGTAAAGAAAGTTCTAGCTGCAGACCGCCAAGAGCTTTGGAAAAACTGTGTTGAACATGTTGTCAAAGAAGAAGATGAGTATGTGGTATTCCCCTTTTTACAACCCATCATAATTCAACCAAATGATGACTCTAGTTCAGAGGATTCAGACTGCCATTATTATTTATAAAGATGCTTTAGAATTGAAATGTTTTTTTCTTTTGTTTTATTTGCAAAGAATTTATTTTCCTTTATGGTTTTTGCTTTGAAATTTCGTTTTCCAAAAAAAAAACAACAAAATGGAGTACAAAAAGGGCTCAGTTCACGTCTGATACCCTGTTCAAACCAAACGCCCATACAGGCTTTACTCGTTTTTTTACGTTTTATAATTTAATATTCAGTTGTAGCAAGTTAACGAGCTATAATGATTTTTTTTAAAGTTCCAAGTAAGACTACAATTAAGTACATCTGTCTAAATAGGGGCGTATAATAACGTCCAATTTATAATGATTCGATTTCCTTTTAACGAATACTTTCTTGCATATGATATATTTTAAACGTATTTATAAAATAAATTTATAAAATGAGGTAGGTATCTACGCCTATGGCAGATCAAACAAAATTGTCGGTAAAGGTTCGGAACGAGTTTTTATGTTTTGCAATTAATAATGGAAGAACTATACCAGGTGAAAAAGGTGACTAAAAATAACAGTTACTTAACTCAAATTTATATGGCTGATTTTTATATATATTTAATAGAATATCATTCTCAAGTAGTATCGCAAGTATCAGACACTTTCCATGGACCAAAACTTTTGTCAGGCGCTTTAAAGCTCCACCAAAAATAAATGAACTTCACTTATTTTTTAATGTCTGATTTTTGAATATGTTATCGAGTTAACTATTAAAAAATTATATTTAATCTGTCAGACAAATTGGAATGACCAAAAATCCCCTAAACACAAAAATTATTCGGCCGTGAGTATGAGCGCGATAGCATTATGCATGCGTTTCAGAGCGAGTGAGATGTCCATAGTAACTCGGTTTTCCTTCTTTAACTCACATTCTGTTTCAGTCTACTGGGTGTGACTTTAATCCTTTATTTTTCAAAAAAGGTAAACAAAGACCTTTTAATATATTGATGAAGAAGCATGAATATCAGCTTGCTTTTATGCAATTTGATAGCCCAGAGTCGTTTACCGATGCACACATACAGCAGGATATTTTTAACAGTACAAAAATTTATCTGCGAAATTTATAATGTTTCTGGCACACTTGACGTTGATGCTGCCCGACTTCAGCTATTTTTAAATAATTATACCGTTTCTGATGTAAATGAAGAATTTAATCCAAAAAGTTTAAAAAATTTTGATGCTAGCAATTTACCACCATGCAAAACTGAATTATTTCAACAATATCTCCGAGCTAATTACATTGCTAGCATATGGAATAATGCAAATGAAAAACAACCTACCATCTTTACTCCTGAAAATAATGGCTGGACGTTAGAAGAAAACCAGTATCACTTCCATTAGTTTGATGGTGACCAATTACCAGGAGACGTCAGTGAAGCACTTCAAGATCCAGGTACAGTACTTTAACTTTAGGTTTACAATTTATTTTTTGTTTTATATTTGTAGTTTTATGTTTTGTAATTCTTTTATTTGTTTTTTACAGAAGAAGCTGACAGCAACGACAACAACATAAATGATGATGATGAGAAGGATGACTCGAATGGATAATATGACTGGCTTAATAATGAAAATTCTAATGATTATTTTGATAATGATAACGATGATTAAGGACAATCAAATACTTTCACTTACTAACTATAGTTATTTTCTTTTTTACTAAAATTACTTTTTCTTAAAAATGTAAAAAGTGTTATCTTTGGTAAAAAAAAATAAAAATATTTTTTTATAAAACACAATTACTCCGAAAAAAAATTAATTTACCGAATACATGCAATAAATTGTTTTACTTTAATAATTATTAATTATTACCTTAATGTTGAAATTAATTTTATTTAAATAGAGATGCAAAAATATTTTATCGAAAGCAATAAGTACTTTTTGAAATATTTAAATTCTTCGCTCTGACACGCATGCGCATAGTGCTCTCGCGCTCGTACTCACGGCCGAATAATTTTTGCGTTTAGGGGATTTTTGGTCATTCCAATTTGTCTGACTGATTAAATATAATTTTGTAATAGTTATCTCGATAACATTCAAAAATCAGACATTAAAAAATAAGTGAAGTTCATTTATTTTTGGTAGAGCTTTAAAGAGTCTGACAAAAGTTTTGGTCCATGGAAAGTGTCTGATACTTGCGATACTACTTGAGAATGATATTCTATTAAATATATATAAAAATCAGCAATTTAAATTTAAGTAACTCTTATTTTTAGTCACCTTTCTCACCTGGTACCTGCCCAGGTGTCACTGGGCAAACTTCACAAATACGCAGGTATACAAAGTACATGAGACACTACTGAGAACTTAAAGTTTCATATTTTAGAAAATAAGTTATGTCTTATCGCTCTGGGATCTTAGATCTTATTCTATAGGCGTGTCGGACCTCTCTCTTGCACCGTATAGTAATACTAAACCGAACGCTAAAGGGGTCGTTTGGAGTTAAAAGTGTTAAAGGAGCTTGGAAAACTGAACGCAATATTTGGATAGTAATCGTAGAAAAAATAAATTGTCATTGAATGAAATATAATTATTAAAAAGTTTAACAATCTCGTTCTATTACAAACAGTTGCAGTATCTACTCTCTAAGCTTGACCTTAAAGCATGAATTGGAGCAGGATGAATGTTAGTATAGATTGCATGTTACTAAAAGTACATTACAGTAATCTCCACATGGTATATCGTTAGATCATATAGACATCAGGTTAGATCATAGACATCAGGTTAGATCAACCAGGTTAGTATGTTGACCATTTAACCGAACTGTGACCCAGTACTATGCAGCTGAAAAGACTACTACATTGGATGTTGACGTCAATGTATTCACTCTGCACTGCAGATTATATCTAGATCTGGATATTTAAAGTAATTGTATCAATATTTGGTTGTTATTTTCGATTTACTTACTTGCTTCTTTAACGTATTTACTTATCCTTTGGTTCTCATCAGCAGAATGGATTGTCAGTAGCTTCATGTGAATAGATTCGCAGAAGTGCAAAGCTTGATACCAATTAGCCTGAAAACAAATAAACATGTCAATGAGAATACTCAAAGAAAAAAATTGTTTTTTTTTTTAATTTTGACATATAAAGTAACATCTTTTGTAATCGCAGCAAGTGTCAAAATGATATACCGTATGTAACTAGTTACATAAAGTTGAACATTATGTATCTGAATAAACAAAATATAATAATGAACTTTTTTAAATTAATATATCGTCTCTATGTAGATACGTGGTGTTAGTTCTTCCACGAAGATATAAAGAGGGTATTTAAAAAAAATTGTAACGGCATCCGTTTTCAATATACAGGGGTATTGAAAAAAAATGTATACACATTTTTTACGATTATGTCGAAACTACTGGCAACATTGTAATGAAATTTTGTACGACTATCTTTTGGAGGCATAAATTGGTTTTTATATCTCTTAGAGGGCTCTAGTTATTTTATTTAATGCCCTCTATCTTGAAAATAAATACCGTTTCGAAAATTTTTTACTGAGCAAACCTAACTTATTTTTCAGTGTTCTACCTATTTTACCAACGGGCCACCTTTTTTTGAGTAGGCCATTGGTAAGGCCTCGGTCTGTGGGGCCAAAACTATTTCATTTAAAAAAATCTGTTTTCACAGCAATATGTATATAAAAAAAAACAACAATTTAAAAATAATTTCATTTATACAGGGTTTTCAAGCAAGGGATACATATCAAAGTTAGGTTTTTTTATTACCATTTGAAAGTACCATAATTAAAGTTTAATTTGAGTTAAGCATTCCCTATACCTAAAGTTAATAATTTTGGGAGATTTTTATATTTAAATGACAAAAAATTCACAAAATAGTTTAATCTTAACTGGGCACTGGTTAACAGAAAATAGACCTTTAGTCAGGAATAAGAGAAGTATTTCGCGCCTTACTTGAAAAATGCTAAAGACCTCTATAAATATTATTGAAGGATACTTAGTTAAATTTTTCTAATTAAATAAAATCTGTCAAAACAACACTTAATAAACTTAGAACACAGTAGTGTGACGCGAGGCCGACTCTGTTCTTTGCCCACGGTATGAAGTCCAGCATTAGCCATATTATTATAGAGACAAACGCAATGCTTCGAGAAGCTACCGGATAGATTGCTGTGTAACGACGGAGTCTTAGAGAGAGAGAGAGTTCCCGAATGGTCTGGATCCCCGAGAGTGTTTTGGTGCAGAACTGGCTTTATATAAATAGGCGAGTTTGTCGATGGACGGAAAGTTTTAATTTAAATGCTGTATAGAAAACATAAATTGTAATAAATAAATTAGAATTGTGAGTTATAATAGTGTCTTAAGTATTATAATATAAATTAATTTGTACGTTATAAATAAATTGTAAATAAAATGTTTTAAATAAATATACTATAAATAAATAAGCAAACGTTACATTGGTGTTAGAAGTGGAACTATAAATAAATATTGTAAAAAAAGCTAAAAAACTGTCTGATTTAAAAGTGGCTGAATTGCGTCGAGAATTAGAACATGAACTAGTGACGACAGGGAAGAAATCAAGCTGACAGAACAACTTTAAAAGCACTAGAAAATGAAGGTTTGGATTTGGAAACGTATCTATTTTTGGACGATGCATCTTTTTTTTAATTTCTTCATTAGAAATTAAAATTTCTTCTGATATTTCCTCTATAAAAATTATATTTATTTATTAGAAACTAAAGTTTCTTCAGACATTGCCTCCTTAGAAAGTAAAGTTTCTCCAGACATTTCTTTCTTAGATAGTAAAGTTTTTTGCTTAGAAGAAAAGTTGTCTTCTGATATACCCAGACAGCACACGACGTCCATTGGACGTTTATATTTTGTCCAAATAATGTCCTGGATATCCATGAACTTCATATGGCTGCCCATTGAACATTCGTTTTCCCTTATCCAATGGATATACCCATTCAGAAGTCCAATGGATGTCCAAAAAATGTCCATGATGGACACTATAAAAATGACTTAATTTATAATAAATTATTATAATTCTTCTTGTATAATTTAATTATTTACAACTAGGTTTTAATTAAAATAAATCAATTAATTTTCCTCTTCTCTTCGCTTCTGTTGACAAGATAGAAAAGTAAAAGACCATCCACAGACTCGAAGAAGACGAGAAGAAGAAAGAGGTTAAGAACAAGAAAACACAGCCCACATCATGAAGCCCACAAATATGGTTTATCTGGTAAGAAAGTGAGTATAGTTAACATTAAATTATTTAAAAATCCAAAAATTAAAAAGTAAATCGTTTGTTTTAAAGTAATATAACCTATCAATAATGTTTTAAACTTTTAAACTTCGATTTACATTCAAAATGGCTTTACTAAAAGCTAACTAATATGCTGCAAATTCGAGATGATGTCAACACAATTATTATTGTAACTAAGAGGTGAGAAAACTTTCAAAGCAGAAGAAAAAAAATTCAAGTTTCTGCATGAAACGTTAGCAGAAGTAAAAGGCTATTTAGAAGATATAAATATTTTTAAAGAAGCTGTAAGTTCTACTTTTTTTAAATAAAATAGAATCGTTTTGTAACGTTTAATAAATAATGCATTGATAGTGGTTTCATAAGTTATTTCTCTTTAATGTTCACAAATACATATTTGTATTACAATTTTAGATTCAGCAGTTACCAAAACCAAAACAAAAGAAACAAGGACATATACGAACTTATAAAAAGATGTTTTGTTTTCATAATTTCTAATGTCCTCACGAAAGAATTCACATAATATAATGGTATGAAAATAAAATGGTTATTTATAGAAACAATGAGCAGTGTTTGTTTATATGTAAGTATAGGGGTAAAGTACATTAGTCAATGCATATTTTTATATTAGTTAATAACATTTTATCTAAAAGTTTTACATTTTTAACTATCAGTTTTGCCTAATCAGGCGTTTATTAAAAGATTGATTTAAGACTCAATATTCGTATAAAATGTAATGTCTTTTTTTAGCTGCTGCTGAGAGTGACAATGGTGCTGCTTAAAAAGTAAGCGAAATATCCTTAACAAAATGGCTGAGAAGGTCAGCAAAAAGGAGTGCTTATAAAACTAATACATGCTTGATATTATTCATGACAATTAAAATAGGTCCATAGTTGCAATTATTTTATTTCTTATTAATATAGGCGGTGATGTCCATCAGATGTCCATAAATTGTCCAAAAGCAATTCAAAAATAGTCCATATATGGCACTTTCATGGAGTCCAAATGGGCCTTTCATGGAGTCCAAATGGACGTCTAGGAGTGGGACATTTGTATAGTCCAATGGATGTCCATTGGATGTTCTGCAGTAAAATGCTGGACGTCCTTTGGACAGCCGACATGTCCATCCATGGACTTCCGATGGCTATCTAATGGATTGACTTGTGCTGTCTGGGTATCTTCTTTAAAAACCGAAATTTCTTCCGTATTGGAAAACAAAATGTCTTCTCTAAAAAATGAAATCTCTGTTGATTTGGAAAACAACATCTCTTCTGTAGAGGAGAAAATAAAACAGATGGAAAACAAGATAGTAGAACTGGAACATACAGAACAGTCCTAGGACAATGAAATAAAGTGTCACAAGGTGGAATCAAAATTCAAATTGGAAGGAACTGTAAACTCTGTTGGTGTTAAAGCCCCAATTTTTGACGAGGAAATATCAAACAGTTCGAAATAGCTGCGAGAGTGAACGAATGGTCTAAAAGAGAGAAGGCAGTAAATTTAACCATCGCCTTTCGAGGAGATGCTTTA